GATGACGTGGAATATTTACATGTTGAAGAAAGTTGAGTTTTGAAGTTGTTCACTTGAAAATGATTGAATGAATTGAGAGGGATAAATATGCGTGTCAAAACTGCTGAGGACATATTGCGGTTTTTCCAGAACTTCAGGATGACGATTGCTTACGGGTTGATCTTCATTTCTCAAAGTCTGACAATATTGAATTGCTATGTTTATGTCTTTTTTGTAGGTTTTGATATGGTCTTCCTGTTGGTAGTTGATACTCTTAATTGAAATTGCTTTTATATCATGCAGTTCTGGAGCATCAGATAATATGTATTTTTCACCGTGCTTAAGTGTTATAATGATTGATAGTTAAATAAGGTTTATGTTTTGGCACTATTTCCCTTTCCTTTCTTCCTTTTTTCAGTTCTTTTTTCTTTTTACGGAGAATTGAACTTAAAACACACACCCTGATCCAACCCACTCTCTTACCACCGTGGTGCTTTTATAGTTTAGCTTAAGATAAGATGTTCAAGAATGCAGTTTCTCATTGCCAAATTTATGAGCTGAATGAGTTATATGATATTAGACTGTGGCCATGTTTGAGAAAAAGGTGGAGGGGATGTGTCCTAACGAGGTAACATTTGTTGCTGTTCTGACTTCTCACAGTTTGAGCTCATTCCAACCTCATGGAGTTGGGACTAGAGTTTTTTTTAAATCAATGTCATTATGTGGGATAATGGCCATTGATGGAGCACAATTGGTATGTAGTTGATTTATTGGGCAGAATAGACTCTCTGAATGTGGTAACCAAGTTTCAAACATTTTTGGGCATTGTATTGCTGACATGAGATGAATAGTAGAAACTGGGTCTGGGATCAAGAAAAATCACCTTATTGGTTTTGTGTTAATGTTGTTTGGTTCAACATTCTAATTTACTACATGAAATCTGCAATTAAGTTATACAGACAGTGGAATACTGTAAAAGATTGGTGCATTGTAGAATATTTAAGGTTGTGAATCAAATTTTACGGGAGGTAGTGTTTGTTGAATTTCCGGAGAATTTATTTTTGAATTACTTGTGTCTGAAAATCAAATTGCAATAGTTCATTGGTAAGGAACTAGCTAAATGAAATTGATGGATATGTGCATGCTGCAATCAGTTTTGAGAAACAGTATTCTGTCACATTTAACCCCAATTTACTCTGCCTTGTAACATGAATGTGCCGACTTTCAGCTTGCATGCATAATTTTTTAATATATTTTAGTGGGTGGAAGAGGAGTTAATAAGTAGATATGACACCCAGGTTGATTGATTTTTTTCTGATAGTTGCTAACTAGATAAATAAATCTGAAGTTCCTTTTTTGAGTC